AATCAACAAAGTTAAGCAACGTTGAACCTGATCCGTACCTAAATTGGTGACCTCTTTGAAATAACAGGTGATGTAAGCTTGGATATGCTGGTGGTATAATAGGCTTATAGCCACATCACTTTTTAAAAATGCCGATTCAATACAATCAACAAAGTTAATCAACGTTGAACCTGATCAGTACCTAAATTGGTGACCTCTTTGAAATAACAGGTGATGTAAGCTTGGATATGCTGGTGGTATAATAGGCTTATAGCCACATCACTTTTAAAAATGCCGATGCCAATACAATCAACAAAGTTAAGCAACGTTGAACCTGATCCGTACCTAAATTGGTGACCTCTTTGAAATAACAGGTGATGTAAGCTTGGATATGCTGGTGGTATAATAGGCTTATAGCCACATCACTTTTAAAAAATGCCGATTCCAATACAATCAACAAAGTTAAGCAACGTTGAACCTGATCCGTACCTAAATTGGTGACCTCTTTGAAATAACAGGTGATGTAAGCTTGGATATGCTGGTGGTATAATAGGCTTATAGCCACATCACTTTTAAAAATGCCGATTCCAATACAATTAACAAAGTTAATCAACGTTGAACATGATCCGTACCTAAATTGGTGACCTCTTTGAAATAACAGGTGATGTAAGCTTGGATATGCTGGTGGTATAATTGGCTTATAGCCACATCACTTTTAAAAATGCCGATTCCAATACAATCAACAAAGTTAAGCAACGTTGAACCGTACCTAAATTGGTGACCTCTTTGAAATGGTGACCTCTTTGAAATAACAGGTGATGTAAAGCTTGGATATGCTGGTGGTATAATGGTGGGCTTATAGCCACATCACTTTTAAAAATGCCGATTCCAATACAATCAACAAAAGTTAATCAACGTTGAACCTGATCCGTACCTAAATTGGTGACCTCTTTGAAATAACAGGTGATGTAAGCTTGGATATGCTGGTGGTATAATAGGCTTATAGCCACATCACTTTTAAAAATGCCGATTCCAATACAATCAACAAAGTTAATCAACGTTGAACCTGATCCGTACCTAAATTGGTGACCTCTTTGAAATAACAGGTGATGTAAGCTTGGATATGCTGGTGGTATAATAGGCTTATAGCCACATCACTTTTAAAAATGCCGATTCCAATACAATCAACAAAGTTAAGCAACGTTGAACCTGATCAGTACCTAAATTGGTGACCTCTTTGAAATAACAGGTGATGTAAGCTTGGATATGCTGGTGGTATAATAGGCTTATAGCCACATCACTTTTAAAAATGCCGATTCCAATACGATCAACAAAGTTAAGCAACGTTGAACCTGATCAGTACCTAAATTGGTGACCACTTTGAAATAACAGGTGATGTAAGCTTGGATATGCTGGTGGTATAATAGGCTTATAGCCACATCACTTTTAAAAATGCCGGTTCCAATACGATCAACAAAGTTAAGCAACGTTGAACCTGATCAGTACCTAAATTGGTGACCACTTTGAAATAACAGGTGATGTAAGCTTGGATATGCTGGTGGTATAATAGGCTTATAGCCACATCACTTTTAAAAATGCCGATGCCAATACAATCAACAAAGTTAATCAACGTTGAACCTGATCCGTACCTAAATTGGTGACCTCTTTGAAATAACAGGTGATGTAAGCTTGGATATGCTGGTGGTATAATAGGCTTATAGCCACATCACTTTTAAAAATGCCGATTCCAATACAATCAACAAAGTTAATCAACGTTGAACCTGATCAGTACCTAAATGGGTGACCTCTTTGAAATAACAGGTGATGTAAGCTTGTATATGCTGGTGGTATAATAGGCTTATAGCCACATCACTTTTAAAAATGCCGGTTCCAATACAATCAACAAAGTTAAGCAACGTTGAACCTGATCCGTACCTAAATTGGTGACCTCTTTGAAATAACAGGTGATGTAAGCTTGGATATGCTGGTGGTCTAATAGGCTTATAGCCACATCACTTTTAAAAATGCCGATTCCAATACAATCAACAAAGTTAATCAACGTTGAACCTGATCCGTACCTAAATTGGTGACCTCTTTGAAATAACAGGTGATGTAAGCTTGGATATGCTGGTGGTATAATAGGCTTATAGCCACATCACTTTTAAAAATGCCGATTCCAATACAATTAACAAAGTTAATCAACGTTGAACCTGATCCGTACCTCCTAAATTGGTGACCTCTTTGAAATAACAGGTGATGTAAAGCTTGGATATGCTGGTGGTATAATAGGCTTATAGCCACATCACTTTTAAAAATGCCGATTCCAATACAATCAACAAAGTTAAGCAACGTTGAACCTGATCAGTACCTAAATTGGTGACCTCTTTGAAATAACAGGTGATGTAAGCTTGGATATGCTGTTGGTATGATAGGCTTATAGCCACATCACTTTTAAAAATGCCGATTCCAATACGATCAACAAAGTTAAGCTACGTTGAACCTGATCAGTACCTAAATTGGTGACCACTTTGAAATAACAGGTGATGTAAGCTTGGATATGCTGTTGGTATAATAGGCTTATAGCCACATCACTTTTAAAAATGCCGGTTCCAATACGATCAACAAAGTTAAGCAAAGTTGAACCTGATCAGTACCTAAATGGGTGACCTCTTTGAAATAACAGGTGATGTAAGCTTGGATATGCTGGTGGTATAATAGGCTTATAGCCACATCACTTTTAAAAATGCCGATTCCAATACGATCAACAAAGTTAAGCAACGTTGAACCTGATCAGTACCTAAATTGGTGACCTCTTTGAAATAACAGGTGATGTAAGCTTAGATATGCTGGTGGTATAATAGGCTTATAGCCACATCACTTTTAAAAATGCCGATGCCAATACGATCAACAAAGTTAAGCAACGTTGAACCTGATCAGTACCTAAATTGGTGACCTCTTTGAAATAACAGGTGATGTAAGCTTAGATATGCTGGTGGTATAACAAAGTTAAGCAACGTTAACCACATCACTTTTAAAAATGCCGATGCCAATACAATCAACAAAGATAATCAACGTTGAACCTGATCAGTACCTAAATTGGTGACCACTTTGAAATAACAGGTGATGTAAGCTTGGATATGCTGGAGGTATAATAGGCTTATAGCCACATCACTTTTAAAAATGCCGATGCCAATACGATCAACAAAGTTAAGCAACGTTGAACCTGATCAGTACCTAAATAGGTGACCACTTTGAAATAACAGGTGATGTAAGCTTGGATATGCTGGTGGTATAATAGGCTTATAGCCACATCACTTTTAAAAATGCCGATGCCAATACAATCAACAAAGTTAAGCAACGTTGAACCTGATCAGTACCTAAATGGGTGACCACTTTGAAATAACAGGTGATGTAAGCTTCGATATGCTGGTGGCATAATAGGCTTATAGCCACATCACTTTTAAAAATGCCGGTTCCAATACGATCAACAGAGTTAAGCAACGTCTAAACTGATCAGTACCAAAATCGGTGACCACTTTGAAATCACAGGTGATGTAAGCTTGGATATGCTGGTGGCATAATAGGCTTATAGCCACATCACTTTAAAAAATGCTGGTTCCAATACAATCAACAAAGTTAACCTACGTTGAATTTGATCAGTACCTAAATGGGTGACCACTTTGAAATAACAGGTGATGTAAGCTTGGATATGCTGGTGGTATAATATGCTTATAGCCACATCACTTTTAAAAATGCCGGTTCCAATACGATCAACAATTTAAGCAACGTTGAACCTGATCAGTACCTAAATGGGTGACCACTTTGAAATAACAGGTGATGTAAGCTAGGATATGCTGGGGGTATAATAGGCTTATAGCCACATCACTTTTAAAAATGCCGGTTCCAATACGATCACCAAATTTAAGCAACGTTGAACCTGATCAGTAGCCAAATGAGTGACCACTTGGAAATAACAGCTGTAATCTTGGATGTGCTAGTGGTATGATAGGCTTACGAAAAATATTGGAAGTAGGGAGGGTGAGAAGAAGAGGACTCATAATCTTCCCAGGGGTATAAACATGTAAGTGAACGTAATGTATTCAAGTGGAATTCAAGTCCTTAATTCGAGCCGTTATCAACTGTGCCTCTAAGTAGCGAGGTCATTTAATCATGGAAGTGCATATTCATAAACTGACCTGTGGTCACTCCCAAGACATCTGTCTTTCCAGTCCTTATTGAAATTCACAGCGTAAAAAACCCATTTTTAAGTGGACAGCTGCTTAACCGCACAAAGAAGAGGAAAACTGCTCGAATATGGTCAAAACTTTTTTGCGATCATTTCTCAGGAAGCTGCTCCTTTTCAAACAGACATCAATTGTTTATTACATGACCACCTACTTGACACAATTGACAAGACGGAAATAAAAAGAAAAGCCTTTTTCAAAGGTGTGCTCAAAGATTTCACTTAAATATTGAAAATTACTTCATTTTTTTTACATAAATATTGATCGTCTTAATTTATAAGCGGTTCTGAGATTAATAAAACATTTTATACCAAAATAACCGATTCATTTCTTTAAGAATTGTGTGAAGCATTCCTATAATGAAAGACTCATTTCAATATATTTCTAGTAAAATAATTGCCTGTTTCTGTTAAGCAACATCGAGCCTGATCAGTATCTAGATGGGTGACCACTTGGAAATATCATGTGCTGTAAGCTTGGATGCGATGGCGGTATAATAGGTTTACGAAAAACAACAGTTCCCATACGATCATAGAAGTTAAGTAACGTCGAGCTTGGTCTGTACCTAGATGGAAAATTGACTAGTTGGAAATAACAGGTGATGTAAGCTTGGATATGCTGGTGGTATAATAGGCTTATGGCGACATCACTTTGAAAATGCCGGTTCCAATACGATCAACAAAGTTAAGCAACGTCGAACATGATCAGTATCTAGATGGGTGACCACTTGGAAATAACAGGTGATGTAAGCATGGATATGCTGGTGGTATAATAGGCTTATGGCCACATCACTTTGAAAATTGCCGGTTCCAATACGATCAACAAAGTTAAGCAACGTCGAACCAGATCAGTACCTAGATGGGTGACCACTTGGAAATAACAGGTGATGTAAGCTTGGATATGCTGGTGGTATAATAGGCTTATGGCCACATCACTTTTAAAAATGCCGATTCCAATACAATCAACAAAGTTAATCAACGTTGAACCTGATCAGTACCTAGATGAGTGACCACTTGGAAATAACAGCTGTAAGCTTGGATGTGCAATAGTATAATAGTATATACAAAATTAATATAAAAACACCAGTTGTTCTCATGCGATCACCGGTTAAGCAACGTTGATCCTGGTCAGTACCGAGATGGGTGACCACTTGGAAATAACAGGTGCTATTACTGTTCAATTCACAGTTCTTTCGAATTGTAAATTTCTCTCTCAAATTCATGTCAAAAGTAATAATATCTTTAAAAAAAATTCATTTTTTAATCATTTTCCCCAATCAAGGCAATAAAGCCACTAAGAAGTTATTGAGAGTGAGAGAATATTAATAACAAAGAAGAGGACGATTGACATTACATTTAAATTTTTGAAGATCAAAGTTTCACAAAAAGTAAGAAGCTGGAATCAGAGTTCCAAAAGTGCGGGAGAAGATACTGTTAACATAGAACTTACGATTATATCTAACAATTTCAATAGTAAAATGATGAGACCTTACCGCCAATCTAGTACTGCGTTTAAATTTAGAAAGTCTAAGTACTATGGCTGGAAGCTCGTCAAAACAATTACCATAAAAGTAATTAGAAAAACAAGACAGAAGGAGGCCACATTACGGTGAGAAAGAGACTGAAACCGAGATGCCAGGTCAGAACCAATAACATTGCAGATTCTTCCTTAGATATTTTATCACGAATCTCTGCATATATTGCTGGAGCACCAAACCAGATAGGGCAGCAGTATTCAAAGCAAGGATAAATGGCAGACTTCTAGAGAGAAAGATTGTCTGGACGGCAGAGTGAAACAAATTTTCTAGCAGCAGACCTAGTAATCGGTTCAATATAATCATTCTACTTCATACCAGAGAAAAATGTTGACCCGAGAAGGCCCAACGTATCAGTTTCCTGGAGGATACCTCAACATAATTGATAGAGAGCAGTTTCGTTCCGGATGTCTTAAAATTAAAAAGCCACTTATGACCTATTTAACAGCAGATTATAGATCCTTTTAATAAATCAGCTGACACTTTGACCTTATCGAACCGATCAAAATAACTATTAAGACAGGACTAAATGCTTGTGTCACCAGCATTTACAAGGCCCCAGAGGGTTAAGTTTGGCGGTCATTTGTTGTTAAAAGAAGGGAAAATAACGGTTAATCCTAGACTTGAAGAGGTTGTGATTGTAGTGATTGGGAAAACATCCTGCCGGGAGTCTGTTCTACAAAGCAGCAGTTCTTGGGAAGAAGCTGTTCGAATGGAACTTGCTTCTTACTATTGAAATACGAAAGGAAAAGATAACGGTTAACCCTAGACTTGAAGAGGTCAAGATTGTAGTGATTGGGAAAACATCCTACCGGGAGTCTGTTCCACAAAGCAGCAGTTCTTGGGAAGAAGCTGTCCAAATGGAACTTACTTCTTACTATTGGAATACGAAAGGAAAAGATAACGGTTAACCCTAGACTTGAAGAGGTTGTGATTGTAGTGATTGGGAAAACATCCTGCCGGGAGTCTGTTCTACAAAGCAGCAGTTCTTGGGAAGAAGCTGTCCAAATGGGACTTATTTCTTACTATTGAAATACGAAAGGAAAAGATAACGGTTAACCCTAGACTTGAAGAGGTGAAGATTGTAGTGATTGGGAAAACATCCTGCCGGGAGTCTGTTCTACAAAGCAGCAGTTCTTGGGAAGAAGCTGTCCAAATGGAACTTATTTCTTACTATTGGAATACGAAAGGAAAAGATAACGGTTAACCCTAGACTTGAAGAGGTCAAGATTGTAGTGATTGGGAAAACATCCTGCCGGGAGTCTGTTCTACAAAGCAGCAGTTCTTGGGAAGAAGCTGTCCAAATGGAACTTACTTCTTACTATTGAAATACGAAAGGAAAAGATAACGGTTAATCCTAGACTTGAAGAGGTTGTGATTGTAGTGATTGGGAAAACATCCTGCCGGGAGTCTGTTCTACAAAGCAGCAGTTCTTGGGAAGAAGCTGTCCGAATGGAACTTACTTCTTACTATTGAAATACGAAAGGAAAAGATAACGGTTAACCCTAGACTTGAAGAGGTCAAGATTGTAGTGATTGGGAAAACATCCTACCGGGAGTCTGTTCCACAAAGCAGCAGTTCTTGGGAAGAAGCTGTCCAAATGGAACTTACTTCTTACTATTGGAATACGAAAGGAAAAGATAACGGTTAACCCTAGACTTGAAGAGGTGAAGATTGTAGTGATTGGGAAAACATCCTGCCGGGAGTCTGTTCTACAAAGCAGCAGTTCTTGGGAAGAAGCTG